TCCCCTCACTGCCTTCATTCACACAGTTCCCTCCACCTGGAATGTTCAGCCCCTTCTCTGCATATTCAAATCCCAATTCTACCCATCCTGCATAGCCTTGCTTCAAAGCCACCTCTTCTAAGAAGCCTTCCTAGACTTCTCCAAAAAGGAAATAGTTTGGTACCTTATAGCTCTTTGTTGACTCTAGCTCTCATGGCTCTGGTAAACTGATCTCAATTTGGGGGCAATGGTGTTCCCGTCCTAGCTCTCTCCGTAGCCCAGGGTCCTTAGAGAACGGAAGCACCATTGGCCGTTGTTCCTTCAGGGTCTGGCACTCAAGTAGGTCTAACAAATAGTCACTTGTAGGAGCACATCTCATGAGAGCCCTGCCGTGGCTTCTCTGCCATAGTGGAGTATGACTGCACCTATTTTACAGATGGGTAAACTGAGGCCCAGAGAAGTCAGGAAACTCACCAAGATCACTTCAGAAGGCAAAGGCTGAAGCTCAATATCACTCCTCAATGTTTCTTAACCAATAAAAGAAGTCTCCCCACGCCCCATGCACGGGAGTAAAGGAGGCAGCTGACAGGTGCTTGGGTATGTGCTGAGGTCACCTTGCCACTGCCTTCCCTCTTTCTTCCTGCCCTTTCTCTCTTTCTTTCAGCTTCTCCTTTTTCTTTTCTTTCTCGTCCTTTTTCTCCATCACTTTCTCTACCTCTGCTTGTACGGGTTCTATTCTAATTTTTACCCATTATCTCCACTCCCAGCTACCTCCATTTTGCTTCCTGGCCTCTCTCCAAGACAGGGTTGGGTATCTACCTTGCTTTCAACCTCTTACCCTTTCTAAGTTAACTAAGAGGACCGAGGCCAGGGAAGCATCCAATCGTTTTCCTCCTCTTTTCTACTGTCCACGCCAACCTAGTAAATGAACCAGTCAGAGAACTGTATAAGTGGTCAACCAAATACAAGGTCCAAATTTCTTCACTAAAGCCTTGTAAGAGATTGACGAGACCAGCTTCCACCACCTGGAGACACCAAAGGCCAGGAAAGGGGGAAAAAAAAAAGAGGGTGCTGGGACCAGCAGATAGCATAATGGTTACATTGCTGAATTCCCACATGGTCAACCATGGTTCATGCCCCAGACCTGGCAGTTTCAAACTCATGCCCGGCCCATGTGCAGGCATGCCTAAGATCCCGAGAGACGCGTGGAGGAGAAGGGATTGCAGAATGGCCATCTCGCACTCTGGGAGGTGATCTTGCTTTCTCTTTCCGGCGAGCACACGTGCCCTCTAACAAGAACTTAAAAAAAAAGGCGCACGTGGCCCCTAAAAAAAAATTAAAAAAAAAAAAAAAAAAAAAAAAAGGGTCCTAGGGTGCCTGTTTTAATTATTTTAAAAAAAGGATTAATTTTATTATTTTTTATTTAACCAGAGAGAGAGACAGAGAGAGCGAGAAAGCAAGCCGCCAGGTCCAGTATTTGAAACTATTGTCTTCCAGTTGGGAGTCCAGCACCTTAACCACCATGACACCTGCTGGCCCTGGGTCCCTGTTTTATTTTTATTTTGATTCATTAAAAAATTTAATTTTATTGGGATCAGCAGACAGCATGCTGGACTCCCACATAGTCAACTGTGGTTAGAGTACCAGACCTGGAGGCTTAAAACTCAAGCTGGGTGTGTGTGCACGCGTGCCCAAAATCCCGAGAGAATAGATGAGATTGAATAGAGGAATGTGGTGTGGCCATCTCCCATGGGGGGTGATTTCTTGCTTTCTGTCTCCTTGTCTCTCTGGCGAGCACGTGTCCTATAGCAAAATTTCTCTAAAAAATAAAAAGAAAAATGTTTGGGACCAGCAGTTGGCGTAATGGCTACATTGCTGGACTCCCATGTAGCTGACCATGGTTCAAGTCCCGGACCTGGTGGTTTAAACTCATACCGGGCACTTGTGCATGCAAGTCCAAGATCTTGAGAGGAGAATGGAGACAGGATTGCAGCATGGCCATCCCCCCTGGGGAGTGATTTCTCTGTCTTTCTCTGTCTTTCTGGCGAATGCTTGCACCCTATAGCAAAAACCTCCCCCCAAAAAAGGAAAAAAATGTTATCATTTGAGAAGGCAAGCTGTCAAGTTCAGGACTCAAACCAGAATTGGCCATGTGGGAATCCAGCACCCCAACCACCACACCAGCTGGCCCCTTGACTTTAAAAAGAATGTTATTTATCTATTTGTTGAGATTTTTGGGTCACATGTCCAGGACTCAGATTGTGGTAGGTCATGTTGGAATCCAGCACCTCAACTTTGACACCGGCCAGTCCTAAAGGTTTAGTTGGCTTTTGTGTCACTAACAACTAAATATCAGGGACCAGCAGATGGTGTGGTGGCTAAGGCGCTGGACTCCCACATGGCTGACTGTGGTTCAGGTCCCAGACCTGGTTGCTTCCTTTCTCACCTTTCCTCTCCTTCTCTGGCCAAATTAAAAAAATAATGATTATACATAAGATAATTCTTTAAAAAACAAAACTGAGTATCACACTGAGTGATTTATAAACAGAGGTTTCAGCTCAGTTTGGAGGGTCAAGGGTCCATGTCTGGTAAGGGTCTTCTGGCTGGTAGAGATTCTGCAGAGTCCCAAGGCTGCATGGGGTGTCACATGGCAATGTTTGCACATCCATGTCTGTCCTTTTCCCATTCCTTATAAGCACCAGAATTCAGTCATAGATAATCATCTAATTGTAGCCTTTCAACACCAAAGTCAGATTAAGCTTCACTCAATCCCATCACCATGAAATTTCAATGCATTTTGGGGGACACACACAAATCATAGCAGTCCCAATATTTACCTCATTCATCCACTTAGTTATTCATTCATTCCATATATATATATTTTTTTTTTCTTTGAGAGGTTTTTGCCATAGGGCATGTCCTCTTACCAGAGAGAGAGACAGAGACAGTGAGAGGGAAAGTGAAAACTCACCCCCCGGGGGATGGCCAAGTTGCAGTCCCTTCTCCTCCATTCTTCTCCTGGGATCTTGGGCACGCACACACACACAAGCACCCAGGGTGATTTTCAAGCCACCGGGTCCAGAACTCGAACTGCAGTCGGCCATGAGAATCCAGAAGTGTATCCACCACTACGCCATCTGCCGGCTTCTCATTCAGTATATTCTGAGCACTAGCGACAGATGCCTTGGGAATTTTCTTTCTTTAGGGATCAACCCTTGGATATTTGTGTCATATCTTGAGCTCTGGCCAAGGCAGGGCAACGTCTTGGCAGGAAGGGGAGAAAGACTGAAAGGGTCATATCTGGTCTGGCAGGTCTGGTGGGTGGGACTTGCCCTAGTGGGGAATTCTTTGGGAAAAGAGGAAGATTTCCACCTGAAAGGGGGAAGAAAGAAGGGTAGTAGGACTTTATTGCAGATGGCTGACTCACCAGAGATAACTGAACAATCCAGATCATATAAAAAACCACCTGGCTGTTGTTTCAGGACCAACTTAATCACCCCACCCTAAATCACTCTATAATTTAATTTTTATTCACTTATTTTAATTTCACCAGAGAGGAACAGAGTGGGTGAGAGAAAGTGAGAAAGTAAGTGGACAAGTCCAGGACTGAAACTGCAGTTAGCCATGTGGGCGTCCTGTGACCTTAACCACCATGCCACCTGTGTGCCCCAATCCCTTAAAAGTCCCTAGACTCTGCCCTTAAGGGCCAATGTAACTTGCATCTGGTGTCTTTTCTCCTTTCAGAGAGAAATAAAACTTTTCTATCCACTTACTGAGTCTGTGATTTCTTTGACAACCTGTGAAAACAGATTACTCTAACATTTCCCAGATAACTTGTTAGTATCCCATTCTGAAGATTTTTCTGCTAAATCAGCTACCCCTCTCCCACCTTCTAGGAATTGACGACTTATTTTACAATTTCCTCTCTCACCTTCTAATCCTTGGGGATTATGCCTCTTTGGAGTCCTTTTCTGCCATCTCAGGAGAGAGGTACAAACCTAAATCTGGGTTTTAAACCCCCTGGTCCAGGGCCAGCAAGTGGCATGATTAAGGTGGCAGCTGGACTGTGCAGTTTGGAGTCCCAGACCTAGCAACTTGAGGATCAAAGCAAGCACATGTGTGTATGCACCCAAATGGAGGAAAGAGAATTGCCATCCTCCTTTGGCGGAGGGGTGTATTTCTCTTTCCCTCTCTCTCCAGCAAGAACTCGTGCCCTTATATCAAATTAAAGACATTAAGTACCTGGTCCATGACCAGGGAAAACGTTCACTTTCCACTTTGCCAGATTCTAAATGGTTCGTTTTATGTGACTTGTAGGAGTGTGGATGACTAGCCCTATTTCCTAAAGATTTATGACATCTCAGGGACCACCATCCCTCCTGTTACTGCTGTGGCCATTAGGATAATCCTATGGGCCATAGAATAAAGATCCCTCATCCACCCAGCTGGATGTTTAGATTGATGATTCTCGGGAGTTAAGGGGAAAATACACCTTCAGACCAGGTGCAGCCCCTTAGTTCCCTCTGAAAAGCCCTGGCTTGCCTTAGGACAGCTCAGAGCAAGAAACTCAATTTGAAACTGCTAGTGCTTCCCAGCTGCCTTTCAGCCCAACCTTTTCCCAAGTGTTAAATGGCCTCTTATTTAACTCCTATACAGTATGTTGGAGTGGCATGTTTCATTTTTTTGGTTTTAAATCACATCCAGACAACTGTAAAGAATCAGATTTCTAAGGAATCAAACATTAGCCAGAGTTTTTCAGCAAAGTCCCTTTTATTTATCTAGAAATTACTCATTAATTAAATCACCAGGAATCTTCAGCACAAGATTTAACATCTTAAAGACCATCAAGACCTGGGCTCTGGGGCTTGCTCTGCCTCTCCCAGTCCTTAATGAGGTTTAGAGGGAGAGACGTCATTAACAGAGAATTTCTCAAGGGAGTGCTATACAAGAAATTTAAATACAGACACACAGAAATAAAAGCTGCTCAATTCTTGTCCAGAGCAGGAAAGAGCCAGTACTTCAGAAAACTAATAAGAATTTGACATTGCACTGTAAGACCTCCCTTAACAATTTAGATTTATCAACAATATTGGTCCAAACTAATTTCCTTCTAATTTTTTTTTCGATTTGTTTTTGTATGTCATTTTAATAAATAATTTCACTCCCTGTGCAGATAAGAATCAACCCAGTGCAAAGAATAATCCCTCATCTTTCTTTGGAAAGAGGAAACAGATTTCTCCATTCCTTTTCTACCCAAGAGATGAACACACATCCCCTCAAAGTTCAAACGTTACTTCTGGCCTTGGAATGTACATAGAGGCAGCTTTTGATGGACTGAGTCAATCATTTTAGGAAGGTCAGCTGGAACCACTATGCAGGCAGCCTTCTTTGGAAACTTCTTAAAAATCACCTCTTGATAATTGCCCACGACAGTGTACAGGGACTCAAAGGTCCAAAGTATTCCTGCTTTTCTATCTCATGCGTTAGTTTCAGAGGAAGCATTAGAATGGTCAGGAGCAAGAGTGGCAGCAGTGGCCCCACGAGGTAGGACCTCAATAACCCGAGGCTTGTCAATGATCCGGGCTGTCCGGTTTCCCTTTTCCACAATGCCCACGATCCACGCTTGGTGACCTTCTCCATACTTGGAAGATTTGATTTCAGAACAAAAGCGAGCTGCTTGTTCTCTTGGCAGACAAATCAGTAGCCCCCCTGAGGTTTCAGCTGAGGTTCCTTGAAGAAGTCCAAACCTTCCACTAGCCTTGCTGATGGCAGCCATCTTGGCAATGATGGGCAGATTATGAATAACAAAGGACACCTCATTTCTTTGTTGTTTTGCCAGGTTCTGAGAGTGTCCTAGGATGCCAAAGCCTGTTATATCAGTGGCTGCATGGGCATTAAATGTGTGCATCAATCCAGCGGCAGTTCTATTTAGGGTAGCCATATTGAACATGGCTTCCTGATAGGCCAATTCAACTTCTTCTCTGGAGACCACCATCTTTACCTTATTCCATCTTTCAGGATTATCCAACCATTGGTGGGCATTGACAGCGACTTGGGTTCCTAAAGGTTTGGTTAACACAAGGACGTCCCCAACAACTGCACTGTCAGGCATTATGAATTCATTTGGCTGACATACCACAGTGGCAACTCCACCAATGATGATCCAAGGGTTGACCACTGTCTGTCCACCAGTCACTGCAGTCCCTCCTTCTTCAGCAGCATCCCGAAAGCCTTTGATCATGAGTGGTGTTACCTTTTCTCGTTCTTCCTCGCTCATACTCTGGCTGACACTGAGCAACATTAACATATTGTCACATTCAGTAATGCCCATGGCATGGAGGTCACTAAGCACGTTGGCACAAGCTATGCGCCCCATCATGTAGGGATCTTCCACCAAGGGGTAGAAGAAGTCCGTGGTTTGCACCAGTGACAGGCCCCCGTGCCTCAGGGGGATGACACAGGAGTCCATTCCAATGCCCAGGGCTGGAAAGGTTGGGCTGGGGCCCGCCCCAGTTGGGAGGCCGGCTTCTTGTGCCGCCTCTTCCTGGCCTCCCACTAGGCCCCGGCCCAGCGGGGGCCGCCCCTCAGGCCGTGTCAGTCCCGCCAGGAGTTTGAGCAGCGTCTCCTGGGGGACTTTGCAGCCTCAGCCCTTCATACCAGAGAAGCCCGTCAGCCACCAGCTGTGTTTGAGGCCCAAAGCCTGGGGCTTGAAGAGCAGGTAGTTAGGGAAGCCTTGGCCCTGAGACCAGCCTGCCCGGCCTGAGGACATTTCCGAGGACATTTCTGCCGCCGCCGCCATCGCCGCCACCGCCTCTCCGCTAGCTCCGGTCGCCACAGCTTCCGCCATCGCGCCTGCCCGACAGGGAAGGGGGAGGAGACAAAAGGAGAGGATCTTTTAATTTACTACTCAAGTTAAAGTGAGGTAAAGTCAAAATATTACCCGCGGAGAAGCCCGTGTACAACTCACGCCGCGAGACCCGCGCAGCACGCCGTTCCCGGCCTTCCTGAGGGAGGAGCCGGCGGCTTCCTATATTTATACGCCCCCGATTGACAGCCGCACCATCCAATGACGACTCTGCTACCGGGAGGCGGGCTTGCTTCACGCTCCAAGGTGTTACAAATTAACCTCCGGATTGCAAAACTGTTCCGAGTGCGACTGCAAAGCGTCACGTGTTTTAGTTCATTACCTTTGTAGTTTTGTTTATTTTATTTATTCATTTGCTCTTGCAGAGCCAGGTCGTTAGACTTAGCTCCCGTTCTAATTTCAATGTTCTCTTGGAAGTGCTGGCGGAACTTTGCTCCCCTGGAGTCGCTTTTCCAAGTCGGGAATTCTCCCCGAAGAGGGAAGGTCGGGCACGCGGCACGCCTCCTGACGGTCAGAACGGTGCAAGGGCTCCTTGGCAGCGTACGTGAACAATCCAGGGAAGGAAAATAACCCAAGGGGAAAAATCAGAAAGAGTGAGAAATTAGAACGTAAATTACTACAGTAAGTAAGCAAACTGCAATCTCAATATAATGAAATGCTGGGCCAGCCACGGCATGATGGTTAAGGGAACCAGATCCAATATGGCCTCCTGACTAGTTCAGATCCCACCCCCAGGCTTGGAAAACTCAGGGCACCTGTGCGTGGGTGTGCTAAACCAGATGGGATACAAAAATGGAGTAAAAAAAGGGACTGCTGTGTGACCCATCTTGCCCTCCCCCCCCACATCTGGGTTCCTTTCTCCTTCTCCCTCTCTTTCTCTAGTCTCTCTGGAGAGTGCAGGTGCCCTCCGACCTTAAAAAAAAAAAAAAAAAGAAAGAAATACTAACATGGACTTTAAAGAAATTAAAAGTCCAAAATGTCTGCATGGGTTCTGATGCCATTTATGCACGAGATGCTTGGGTAGGTCACTTTCACCCCCAGCCTCAGTTGATTCTTTTGTGTAGCAGAGTAATTTGCCTATTCTATTCTAAAAATTTTATGTCTAAATATATATGAGAATCTGTGACATATATACACAAAGAACAGTTTGCCAATGTCTGTTAAAATTGTAACAGCACTTAATGCTTTTGATCCAGCAGGTCCAGTTCTAGAAGTTTATCCCACAGATGTACTCACCACTGTGAGAAAGGATACCTTATTTATTGCTATGTTGTCTGTAATATCAATATACTGGACACAATGTTAATGTTTATCAGATTTTATTGAAATTTAAATGTATCAAATGTTAATTATGATTAAAATAAATTATGCTACTATTATAGTGGACTACTATGTAACTAAAAAAAGAATGAGAAAACATTTATGTAAGTAATATATTGTTAATAATTACAGTTCTGGGGAACCAGCCGTTAGTGTAATGGCTATGTCGCTGGACTCCCATGTAGTCGACTGTGGTTCGTGCCCCAGACCCGGTGGCTTAAAACTCACGCCAGGCGCATGTGTGTGCGTACCCAAGATCCCGAGAGGAGAATGGCGGAGAAGGGATTGCGGCATGACCATCCCCCTGGGGGGTGATTTCTTGCTTTCTGTCTCTATGTCTCTCTCTGTCTGTCTGGCAAGTGCACGCACCCTATAGCGAAAACCTCTCCAAAAAAAAAAATAATAATAATAATTACAGTTCTGATAGGCACAGTTTTTTTAAAGAATTATTTTATTGAACTTAATTAATTAATTTATTTTAATTTGACCAGAGAAGGACAGAGTGAAAGAGAGAGAAAAAGAGAGAGACGGGGAAAATGTGAAAACAAGTCACCAGGTCTGGGACTCAAACTGCGGTCGTCCATGTGGGAGTCCACCATGCCACCTACTGGCCCCTTAATAGGTAGTTTATTTTTTTTTAAAGAATTATTTTATTGGGGCCAGCAGTTGGCTTAATGGCTATATTGTTGGACTCCCATGTAGTTGACCACAGTTCGAGTCCCAGACCTGGTGGCTTGAACTCACGCGAGACGCACATGCATGTGTGCCCAAGATCCCGGGAGGAGAAGGGATTACGGTGTGGCCATCCCCCCTGGGGAGTGATTTCTGGCTTTCTGTCTCCCTGTCTGTCTCTGTCTTTCTGGCGAGCACACATGCCCTATAGCAAAAACCTCTTCCAAAAAATTATTTTATTTATTTATTTTTAATTTGGCCAGAGAGGAACAGAGTGAGCAAGAGAGAGAGAGGAAAAGGGAGAGAGAGAGAAAGGCAGAAAGTAAGCCACCAGGACCGAGACTCAAACCACAGTTGGTCATGTGGGAATCCAGCACCCTTAACTACCTACCATACCACCTGCCAGCCCCAACAGGCACAGTTTTAAAGTCTTTGCATAAATGAACTATTTTAACTTTTATAAAAACTGTATGAGTTAGGGTTCTTCCCCTCATTTTACAGGATCAGGAATAGGAGGCACAGAGAGATTAAATGACCTGTTCCAGGTCACAGCCAGCTTAGAGTGGAGCTGGGATGTAAATGGCACTCTGCTTCTGAGACCAGTAGAGTATCCTGAATGCGATATTTGTAAACAGAAACAAGTAAGCTTCGGAACAGTGGGTAGAGAGTGCTAGTATTTCTGGAAAAAGGAGGAACCATATACAATAGCATATTTCTGGAAGCGTAACCACCAGAAACTGGTAATATTGGGAAATGAGGTGGTTGGGGATAGGATCTTCTTTCATTGTATTATCATTTTGTTTTTATACCATTTGGAACTTAAACATATTTTTGAAATATTTGAATGTATTCATTCTTAAAAATTAAGTGACTGCTGGGGCCAACAGGTGGTGTGGTGGTTGAACTGCTGGACTCCCACATGGTTGACCAGGCAGCTTGAGGCTCCCACCAGACACATGCACATGTGAGCTCAGAATCCCAGGAGGGAAATGGAGGAGAGGGGATTGTGGTGTGTCCAGGCCCCAAGGCGGGGGGGTGATTTCTCGTTTTCCCTCTTGCTGTTTCTCTCTCCTCTCTGGTGAGTGCACGCTGAAACCTACGGCAAAATTTTTTTGTCTTTAAAAAATAAAAAGGGACTAGCAGATGATGTAATGGCTGTGTCGCTGGACTCCCATATAGTCGACCATGGTTCATGTCCCAGACCTGGTGGCTTAAACTCACACCAGGCACATGTGCATGCGTGCCCAAGATCCCAAGAGGAGAGGCATGGCCATCCCCCCTGGGGGATGATTTCTCGCTTTCTCTCTGTCTCTTTCTGGCGAGCACACATGCCCTATAGCAAAAACCTCTCCAAAAGAAAGAAAGAAAGAAAAAAAGAAAGGAAGAAAGAAAAAAAATTAAATGACCACTTATGGATTCTTTCTGGAGTTGGGTAAATACTGAGCTTCCGGGCTACCTTAAATTCTGTTTCTTGGGCTGGTGGTGGGTACATGGGTGCTCTTTAAACTGGGCATACTTCCCCATATGCGGTTTTTTTTTTTTTAAGTTTTTTTAAAAATTACTTAATTTTACTTTATTCATTATTATTATCATTATTATTTTCCAGTTTGATCAGAGAGAGACAGAGAGAGAGACAGAGATAGGAAATGAGAAAGCAAGCCACCAGGTCCGAGACCTGAACCGTGGTCGGCCATGTGGGAGTCCAGCGCCTTTAACCACCATGCCATTTGCCAGTCCCCCCCATATGCATTCTGTAAGTAAGCTGTGTTGCAACATATAAGAAAAGGAAATTGGGGCCTGCAGACGGCACAGAGGTTAAGGTGGCTGGATCCTACACAACTGACTATGCATTTAGAGTCCTGGACCAGTGGCTTGAAAAACAAGCTGAGTATGTGGGCATGTGTATCTGAGTCCCTAGAGGAGAATGAGGGAGAAGGGATTGCAGCATGGCCATCACTCCTAGGACTGCTTTCTCACTTTCCCTCTTGTTTTCATTTTCTCTCTATCTCTCTCCAGTGAGTGCATGTACCCTACAGCAAACTAAAAAAGAAAAAAGATGAAAAAAAAGGAAAGAAAAATGTGAGGCTAGCCAGGTGAGGTGGTTGTTGTTGAGGTAGCTAATCGCATGGCCAGCTGCTCAGTTTGAGTCCTGGTCTGGCAATTTGAAAAAACATGTTAGGGAGACCATCAGTTAGCATAATGGCTATGTCGCTGGACTCCCATGTAGTCGACCGTGGTTCGAGCCCTGGACCCGGTGGCTTAAACTCACGCTGGGATTGCAGCATGGTCATCCCCTGTGGGTGGTGATTTCTCAGTGTCTGTCTCTCTCTCTTTCTGGCGAGCACACGTGCCCTGTAGCGAAAACCTCTCCAAAAAAAAAAAAAAAGATGGAGGTGCTTCTGCTTCACCATGCTCAAATAAACTCTTTAACATTAAAAAAAAAAAAAGTTAGGTATGTGCGCATGTGTGCCCCAAATCCTGAGAGGAAAATGGAGGAGAAGGGATTGTGGTACAGCCATGCCCCTGGGGAGGGGGGGTGCCTTCTCACTTTCTCTCTCTGGCTCTGGTGAGTACTCATGCTCTATAGCAAATTAAAAACAAGAAAGGAAAAAGAGAAAAATGTGAAATATGCTGTGTTTTAGAATAAAAATAAATTTTAAAAAGATTCAGTAAAAAAATAATGTGGCTGGCATGTGGCATGGTGGTTAGGGGCTCTGGACTCCCACATGACTGACTGTGGTTCGAGTCCTGGACCTGGCGGCTTGCTTTCTCACTTTCAATCCCTCTCTCTGTATGTCTCACTCTGGTCAAATTGAAATGAACATAATGAAAAATAAAGTAATTCTTTAAAAATAAATAAATAACTAAGGGACCAGCAAATGGCCTAATGGTTATGTCACTGGATTCCCATGTAGTCGGCTGACCGTGGTTTAAGTCCCAAACCTGACAGCTTAAATCTCACCCTGGGCATGTGTACATGCATGCCCAAAATCCCAAGGGGGAGAATGGAGGAGATTGCGGTGTGGCCATTCCCCCCGGGGGATGATTTCTTGGTTTTTATCACTCTGTCTCTCTCTGTTTCTCTGGCAAGCTCATGTGCCCTATAGCAAAAATCTCTCTTTAAAAAAAAAAAAAAAAGGGAAGCAAAGACCTTTGAATTTTGCCTGACTTTAGCATCACTATCAATGAGCTCTCTGACCTTGAAAAAGTTACGTAACCTTCCTATACCTTAGTTTCCACTCTGTGAAAATAAGGGTCATAATCTTATGGTCTGATGGAAGGACCACGTGAAAACCTCAGCCGTGAGAAGTGGTTTGCGAAGTGTTCCGCGCATTGTCCATGTGAAGGAGGAGCCTCATATCACTAAGAGAAAAGGAAAGCTTTTCTTTTGAACCCCCTTACCCGAGTTAAAAAGTGACTAGGTCAGGTGCCACTGATTATGCACACTCAGTTCTCTGGACTTTTCCCTGTCGGCGTTTAGCACAGGTTCTCATTTTTTCTTCATGCGGTACAGCGACTGCTCTGTTTTGTACCCCCGAGTTGCCCTAGTACTTCACGTGGTAATAACATTGGCTGAAAAAAAAAATTTATATGGTGATCTATAAATATTTTTTATTTTTTTCTTTTGC